TGTAACAGCCTCATTGAGGTGTTTCCCTCAGATGACCAGTATGCCAGCTATGCTATCTCTCCACTCTGGAGAGAGGGGATTAGAAAAGGTCAACCCCAACAGCTGTACATCCCGACTTACCCTACGGTGGTCCGTAACCGGCGGTAAGTTTACTAATACGGAACCAAACCAAGAAACCAGTTCATACAGGCCGTGTGTGACCGGCTGGCCTCAAGCAGTTGTCCCCTGGGCTCTGCGGTCACGCAACACTAATCCTCTCTCTGTTTCAGGTACTCGAACAATCAATCAACTTCCACGGTGTGTGGGCAGCCGGGAAATAACAACCGCCCACATACTTCCAAAAGCACACGAAGCTTTCCTGAGCATCATTCTCCCCTACTGACATCACCTTCATCATCTTGAAGCATTGAAACATCGAGAAACGTCAGAAAAAAAACAAAATATTGCTTTTTGTTTTTTCCCATTTATTGGGAAATACAAAAATATTTTTTTATGATAGATAATTTATGTGTAATGCGCTTCGTTGAATAGATTGTCTTTAAATGTAAACATGCCAATATGAATATTATCAACGCCACCGACACGACCACCAATACCGCAAATTTCATCTCTTAAAACCCACTCAACAGTATTATAATGATTATTATTATTATTCCCTTGGGTTCCGAGGGGAACATAGGGCTTCAGCAACACATCTCCACTTTCTTTTATTCTCTGTACTCCTATTCAGCTGGGTCCACGATTACTCATAATCTCTCAACTCTTCCTCCAACTCACACAATCTCCTCCATGTCACCCTGGCACCGACGATCCTCTCGTCGCTTCCACTCGAGCGATGGCTTGCATCTCCATTTTCCCCTACATATTTGTTTAGAGATTGGCTCTCACTTGTTGGTTTGTTGCCAGTCAGAGTTTCTTGTAACTAATTCTTTCTGGCCAGTCACGTGATCGTCAGCAGGGAGAGGAGGTAGCTGTTGATAAAAGTCTACAGTAGCCTGTTGGAAATCCTTTTCGTGACACGCTGGCCAAGTTTCTGACCCGCATAATAGAAGGACCAACTTAGGTCAATAGTAGGAAGTATTATTGTGCTTTTTATGCTTGTTGAATAGTAAAAATTAATCACATGTAATGTTGTATATGACAGTGTGTGTGTGTGTGTGTCACTAGCCCCAAAGTTTTCAATTGCAACGTGATTTCACTCATGTGATATACACACATATGAGACTTAAATAAACGCATATGATGAATCCGAAGGAGAAAAGATAACAATGTCCAGGGTAGTTACTGGTTGTGCGATATGATTATGGTTTTTTCTAACAAGACTAAGGCAGTGCGGCAGTAGTTCAATGTCAGGACACTCGCAAGCCATACGCCAGTGGCCTGGGTTGGATTCCCTGTCGGTAAACTCTTGAACAACACCCACCCCCGCCATCTAGTTTCCAAGACTCTGTGGATCCTGTGAAGCATCTAATAATACCCCATTGGAATGATTGTTAAGTCAAATACATACGGTCAGAGGAATACAGTGGGGTCAATCAGTCAGTCAGACTAGCCGAGGACATAAACCTAGCAAAATCTAGACTGGTTAACCCTACACTGAGAATAATCCGCAGAATAGTTCAGCTATTAGCAACCACTATATGCAATTACACACCACACAACCATACAATAAGATGGGATAAGATGACAGTTTCAAAACCTCATAAAACAGGATGAATGGGATGAAAGAGAGAGAGATGGATAACAGAAACTTTCTTTGTCGAATCAACTGCAAAAACACGTGTAATAGGAATGATTCAACACCTGTCCACCCAGACATCCCTACGACAAATAGGAGAGAGAACAAAGAAAACTATAAAACTTAAGTTTCGAAGTCGTATGTGATTATAATTGATGTTATGACTATGAATAATAATCAGGTGTGTTCGACACTTTGTTATGCAGTGAATAATAATACCGTTTAATTTAATTTTAGACTTTCCCGTCGATTGATTGGACTGAAGTGCTCCCCGGTCTCAGGTTGACATGTTTGTCGGCTTCTTGTGCAGATGCTTCAACGATGTCTGGATTTCACTGCTAGTCACCATCCACACCAACAAATTGATTTCTTATTACATGCCTAAACATCGTCGAAGCATTTGCACAAGAAGCCGACAGACACGTCAACCTGAGACCGAGGAGCACTTCGGTCCAACCAATCAATCGAGGGGAAAATCTAAAATTCAATTAAATAATTAATGTGACTCGTTCGTTGCACAAGAGGTGGTTGGATCTCGTGGCCCAATTGGTCTAGTGGATAACGCTTTGGCTGGTGTTTGAAACTATGGGCACTGTGTTCGAGCCTCGGCGGTGGGAACATCATCACTCACTGACTGGGGAATGCAGATACATCCAGCTGGTGACGAGTTTCAAATAGGACGAAATGGGCGTTATCCTGGTGGATTCCACTGCTAGTTACCATCCACCAATTAAGGGTCATGCATTGTTTATTTAGTTAATGGACAGACCCCAAGCATATTGTCAGTTATAGTGGAATAACGATCAATATACACAACATAGTAAAATATACCAAACTGTCAAAACAAAGGCAGACGTCATGTGATGACTACATATCAAATTCATATTCACTAAACAAGAATTCAGACTCATGTGATCCAAATGCTTCAGTTTCCAAAATCATGTTCAGAATGTTGACTATTCTCTCATCACAGTGATTATGATTATGGCCAATATATTTGCTCCCCCCATACACCTTGTTCATGGTATTATTGATTGATTGGCATAACTACTTGCCTCAGTCTTTCTCGCTATCACATTCCTTACATTCCTAGTGGAACGCACATGGCCTAAAGTTTTTCTGAAGTTTTCGTAGTGGTGGTGGTGGTCGTGGTGTTGTTGATTTACAGGATGGGGCTACTGGCGGCTTCACGCCCAACCTTCCTTCTTTTCTGAGCTTTCCATGGGCTTAGTAAACTAATTCCATATTAATTTTTTTTATTAGATATCTCACGCAGTGAAACAGTATTATTAGGATTTAATTGGTGGATGGTGACTAGCAGTGGAATAATCCAGGATAACGCGCATTTCGTCCTATTTGGGACTCGTCATCTGGATGTACCTGCATTTCTCAGTGAGTGATGATGTTCCCACCGCCGAGGCTCCAACCCACGTGCCCATAGACCGAACACTTCGGTGCAATCAAGCGACGGGAAAATCTACGATTCAATTAAATGTATGACCTAAGAATAAAACTTGTGCACTATGGTAGAGTGTAATTCCATTATGGGTAAATTTTGTTTTGATATCATGTCACCTTGATATGATTATGAGCAGCAATAAATTGTGCTCGAAACGTCATCAGTAAACATTACTGTATAACACTGTGAGACTTTATCAAAACAAAATTTACCCATAATAAATGTATGACCTTTTTGTCACATGACATTACAACCAATCAGAATCCAATGGATGTAAGAAAAACCACTGTCTATCTTAGTGGTTCATGTATGTTAGTCATTTTCAAGTATAGACTTTTGTATTGTACAGTTTAATTCACACTCTTTCACACTTTTTCGTACTCTTTAGTACTTTTCCACTCACACTCTTGTGTGACAGTTAATTTTTCCCTTGTTGGAAAATACACGTATCCATTCGTGAACGTGGTGGTGGTCTTCTGATTTCCCTCCTTCGAGTCAAGACAAATCAACCACTAAGCAATACCAGTAGTCTGTACGTTATCGTCCATTTTATATCTCATTAGCGAATATTTACACCACTTGGTCACACCATAACATATTGGCAACGACCCCATAACATTATTGGTGACGAGAGTACATAACAGAATTCATTTTATAGTTTCAAAAAATAACAACTTATTGAGGAGTGATAAATAAGCGGGAAGATTCACACTCCGATATTACCTTTAAATATGAAAAGTGCAATCTGACTGACTGGTTTCAACATTGAAATTTCCACAGATGTGTGCACCAGTTTGAGTTACCACACTCCCTCCATGTAGTACACAAAGCAAGCGAAGAGAATAAAGATAGATAATAAACAGAAGTGTGAGTGAGGGAAAAGGAATAGTAATATGGAAAAAAACAATAGAGTTACATTGAATATTTTCAAGTATTGGTTTTGTAGGGATTTTGTTTGATTGCAGGGAGGATTCCATCATGAGAACCACTGGAAAACCTGGGAGTACTGGACAGCTGTTTCGTTCTAGTTTGGGGCTCTTCATCAGTACGCACCCACCCGGATTCGAACCCAGGACCTTCTGGTTACAAGGCGAGCTCGCCTTGTAACTCGCTGAAGACATTGGTAAAATAGGGCACCAAGAAAGATGTGCCACACAATAATAATAAAACAACATGGACTAAAAGTAAAAATATAGGTAGAAAACGAATAAAGAACTTCATCAGGAAGGAAAACAGTCATGTTTAACAAGTTCAAACAGTATTCGTTAAGTATCATCAGGAAGGGAAGAAAGAAGGAAATTGCAACACGTTCACCATTGATTACGATTCTTGGCTATATCCGAGCTATCTCGCGGACCCCAACCAGGGAGTCGTGACGCACCAACCGATGCTAATCTACCACAAATATCCTTCATCCCACGACGCCACGTCATGGACTGACCACGCCCCCCTCCGCCTTTCCATCGCGTCCCAGGGCTAGCGAACAGACACCTGTACGGAAGCCTCTGGGATGACATTCGCAGCACATGTCCAAGCCACAGGAGCCGGTGTTTCCAGATGACGACACTCAATCAATGGTGATCTCCACTGTGTTCAAACACACACCACCAAACCTCAGAATTACTCACGCGATGACGCCATGGAACGGAAGCAATCCTGCGGAGACAGCGATGATCAAACACGCAGAGTCGCCGCACATCCTCAGCTCGGAGAGGCTAAGTTTCACAGGCGTAGGGCAATAATAATGACAATAACACACATAAATAAGTAATCGGCAATAGTTTATCAACCAATAACACATACCTAGACAATCATCAGGTGATTTCAATACATCCATACATTCATGGATTCCTTTATGATAAGATAAAATTTCAGCAATTTGTTGTCTATCCAACAGTTTTAACCAATCAGGTACTACTGTAGTATCTGGACGATAGCAAGGAGCATGTACAGTTGATTGTGATGATGATATTGATGATGGATTCACTTCAAAGTTATGCTGTGATGATGATGTTTTTCTTGAAAATATTGAATCCTAAATATACAATTTTTAAAAAGAGCATATTTATTAATTATAAAATAATGCCAATGTGTTTTAGAAAATTAAAACTAGACTGTGTAGGCATGCCAAAGCTTCTTCAACTGAATTTTTGCTGATATTTTATTAACCTTCAAAATATATACAGGGGGCCAAGTTAAACTTTAATAAGCACCACTAACTACCAATCAGCGAACGACTTTGAATGGTCCAATGAGGTTCATGCACGGCACGTGAGTTCAAGGTTGTATAGCTCTTGATTCGTTTCAAATGCGCGCTCTAACGAACTTTTACGCTTGCAGTTCGAGGAGGATAAGGTTTTGCAGGTATTGCCTGGATTTGGGGTTACTTAGGAAGGAGATGATTTGTTCATGTGGTAGTGTCATGAGTTTAAAAAGCTTTAACAGGTCGGATTGATGGATATGTCCATCATTGTGCAATTTGTTTGAGATGAGTTAGTATTAGGGGAGGTAAGCTGATAATTTTAATATTTCGTAGGAACATTTTTTGCTAGGTCGCATCTCTCCCTCACCCAGATTTTGTATATTTGCAACTAGTGGGTTTTAAAACAGCCTGTGAGAGGCGCAGCCGCTGAAACCGAAAATAGCCTTGTGTCAACAGTCCAGTGGTACCAGCACTGCAGAGACATCGCATCATGGGAAATGGAGAGAATTACTTCGCTGTTGGGCAGAGAAGGCATCGTCGTGCACGTGGACGAAACTGTGTTACTGAAGAAAAAATACAACCGTGGTCGTGAGCGAGCCAGCAATGTTTGGGTGATTGGTTTATATGACACTTCCCTACGGAAAGGATTCGTGGAGAGAATAGCAGACAGAAAGTCAACTACTTTAATACCCATTATTACTAGACTTGTGAAACAGGGATCAACAGTACATACTGATGAATGGAAAGGTTATAACTCGCTGTCATCTCTTGGACATTCCAGTGATTTTGTGGATCCCATTACGGGGACGCACACAAATTCTATAGAAGGATTTTGGGAAAGATTGAAAATAGGATTAGGGCTATAAATGGATCTCAAAAGGATCTCATTTATAGCCAATTGGATGAAAATATTTACAGAATGTAGTGTGACTATTCTATTGACACTCCTACGCTAAACTGGGAGATGTTTATGTCACATGTTAGAGAAAGATACCCTAAGTAACAGTTTTATGCAGTTTTTATGCTTTTTTCCGTAAATATACGTTTTCCTTTATCGAAAATCCCTATTTCATGTGATTGATCCGTTGAAGGTCGCTCGATGATTGGTAGTTAGTTAGTGGTGCTTGAAGTTTAACTTTGCCATATACAGTCAAAAATTACATAAATTAAAATGAACTCTCCTTTGAAGATCAATCGTTGGTAGACTCGGTGCTCAAATTATTCCAGGAAGAAATACGTAATATCTATGTGATCGTGAGCTGGATTTACTTACCATATTCACCCCTCCCCCATGGGGTGAGTAATGGTTTTTCCACCAATAATACTTCAAACATGTATTACTTCAAACGCCAAGGCGTTATCTATTCACCGACGAAATGCTCAGTCTCTGTTGACATTTCCAATTCGGTTCAAGATGCTCACTCAACGGAAAACGCGGATTTACTTAAAGAATACTAGCTGATACCTGCTGTTCTGCAAAAGTAAGCGCTCTAGTAGACAACACTTTAACGTTTAAAGCAATGGACGCGCTGGGTCCCAGTCTCACGAGGAACACTATCACCCACTGTTGAGGGGATGAGGGTGGGGTATACAGGCACATCCAACTGACGAGTCCCGAACAGGAGGAAACGCGCATCCTAGATTCCACTGCCAGTCATCATCAACCGAAACAACAGGATACAAGGCGACCTCGTGAACCGTGAAGCTACTGCGATCCCATCCAATAGATCATGAATACCAACTTCCACCAATTCACCGCACATATTGCGCAACCACCAGTCAAAGTTTTATAGGCGGGTAACTATCCGTTTACCTGACTTGGTGAACCCTCTATTGGCCATGACTTCACAACAGAATTCCAGGTAACTTCTTGTATACAGTCAGTTATTAGTGAGTATCAGATTAATTTTAAAGTTTTGGTTTATATGGATTCGACTGACCTCAAGGTTGGATCAGGAATTGCCATTACCGGAGCCAATAATTCAAGTTCGCCTTATTATCGAAAGGTCCTAGGTTCAACCCTGGTGGGTGCATACTGATGATGACTCCCAAACTGGGGCGAAACATCTGTCTGCCTAGTACTCTCACTGATATCAGCTCATGTTCAAACCTGAAACAAATCAAACTAACTAACTCCTCAAAATTGATCTGATGCTCGCTAGTAACTGGTTGGTTACAAGACAATGACACTGGCTAGTGGTCGCGCTAAAAAAACATCACGAAGTACTAAAAATTGGAATACATGGACCGTTGGATCGGGTGTCCCAGTGGCTGGAATACCTTACGAACTTGACTTGTAACCGGATGGTTCTAGATTCGAAGAAACCCGGAGGGTGCGCACAGATGAAGAGTGCTAAACCAGGAAGAAACAGAAATGGTTGTCTAGTCCTCCTTACTTCTCTAATTAATGTTACCTTGTGACTAAACCAAAATACAAACAAAGAAAGAAAGGCGTTTTAAACTTACACACAATGAATAATTATTACTCTGAAGACGAGGAGTATTCACTCCACTACTATTGTTGTTGTTATTATTATTATTACTATTATCCTTTACTGAATACACATCACTCATCATATCATAAGTACGATTTGATTTGCATTTATGTTCAATCAAGGATAACCATTGTTTCACTGTTGGATCATGACAAGCGCATTGTTGTTGCAGTTGGTGTTGCTGCTGCTGTTGCGGCTGTTGCTGTTGTTTAACACGATTAAATACAGATGAATGATGCTTTAAATAATCAATTCTAGTGTCATTATTCTCTCCACAACAACCATCATCTTCTTCTTCAAATGCACGTGGTAAACAAATCGACGGCTTATTTGGATCAGCAAAATGACCAGAATATCGACAAGTCAGTCGACCAAATGTTGAAATAAACTCAGTCAATTGTACATTTTCAATGGAGAAGGTGATGAATGGTGTAAAATCAGTTGTTAAACTGATCGATTCAGCTTTACGTAGACAGTCGTTTATTTTAGCATCATATTCACTTCTTGATAGACAAGATTGTAGCAGAATTGATTTCAGAGATTCTATTTTTTGTTTATTACTGAAAGATAAAAACAGGAAAAACAGAAAAAATAGAAATTATGGTGATAATAATAATAATATTTTAAAGGAACACATTTAAGCGAACAATATTGGTTTCATGATGTCAGACAGTTGGAGCCAATCGGCCACAGGAAGCCTTGCACCTAGGTTTCCTGCTAGTTGGCGCTCATCAGCAAGGCGTATCTGCAACCTTGAAGAAACTCATGTCCCTTATGAGGAGATTCGAAACCGCGTCACCCAGTGGGGCTGCAGTCATGGACCTTACCACTAAGCTATTCAAGCTCAATGCAGACTGAATTCTATCAAACTGAAAGGACTAGACACATCACACTAGTTCCTAGTGTCCAATCCAAATACCCATTACAGTCCTACAGGAGGTCAATCACGAGCCCGAATAGCTCAGTGGTAAAGTCTATGACTGCAGCCCCACTGGGTGAGGCGGGTTCGAATCTCAGAAGGGACATGAGTCCCTTCAAAATGTTTGCAGATACGCCTTGCTGACGAGTGCCAACTAGCACAAAACCTAGGTCCAAGGCATCCTGACGATTGCCTCCAACTATCTAATATCATCAAATCAATGTGCACCGTGATGGCGAGCTACCTAAAACTTAAGTTTCAAAGTCGTGTGATTATAATTGATATGATTATGAACAATAAATTTTGTTAGAAACGTCATCCAGTAAATAATACTATTTCACTGTGTGATACATCTAATAAACACACTAATGTGCTAAAGAAGTATATCGCGTTAATCAAGGCAATCTATATTCGAGTTCATGCTACCGTGTAAGAGATTACAGAGAGTTGTCATCTGAAGCGACCCCAACTGACTTTAGCAACAAACGGATTGACAGTCTTGTTGTCTCTGAGTAACGCAAATGACACTGTCCTCCTAGGTGAAGAATCGAGCGAAATGCAGAGTCTTTTCAACACTTTGAGGAGCAGAAATCTTCGAGTGTTGGGCATATAATTCGCACCTGTAAAATGCAAGACGACACTGCAGGACTGGACTACAATGAATCCCAGATTAAGGACAGGGAGAGAAGTGATTGAGTGTGTTGGACCACTACACTTATTTAGTAATTTACTTCAACCCCACCAATGGATTGATCGGTAATGAAATCTCAGCGTGGATACAGAAACTCATGTGGCATTTACCAACTTACCTTATCTCTGACTTAGACGTGATACCTAGCTGTCGATCAAGGGACAAGTATACTATGCACAGCTGTTTGTTCTATCCTCCTTTATGACTGTAAGATATAACTATTGAAATTAAATAACTTTAACAGACTAGTTGTCTTTGACTAAGGGGGCGTAAAACGGTGAGTAGTATTGAAGTTAGGCTTAGTATAACATAAGGAGGGAGAGTCAATCTATGACACCATGAAGCTACATCAGTTGAAATGGCTAAGAGACAAGCCACAACTCTACTTGACAAATGAAGTTAGTTGACATAAGATTCGATTGGTAAAGAGTTAGGGGTGGTCAGATCGAAATCTAACAACAATCCATAAAGCCTCCGACTGGTGGTCCGAGTAACGTAGGGGGTGGGGGATGTACACTGCCTAGTTGGGATTGTTGGAATTTCAATAACCGATGGATGGAGACAATTGGTGATATGCCTCAAAATCATTGTCAATGTATAGTGCAGATGCATTCAATGTTTGTGATTTATCATATCTAGTAAAACTCTGTTGTTCTTCTATAATACTATTCTTTTTTTTCTCACTCACACTTCTGTCTATTATCTCTCTCTTTTGAATCTCTCTTTACTCTCTTCTCTTGCTTTGTATACATGGAGGGAGTATGGCAACTTGAACTGCTGCAGTACTTCTGTGCAAAATCCTACTGACTGACTGGTTTCAACATAGAACTTTGAACAGATGTGCACCAATTCAACTTGCCACATTTCACTTACCTCACAAAGCAACAGAAGAGAGTAACGAGAAGTTGAAAAGAGAGATAATGAACACAAGCGGGAGTGGGAGAGAAAGAATGGTAATATAGAAGAACAATAGAGTTTTATTGGATATTATAAGTCACAAGGAGTGGATGCATCTGCACCAGCCATTGAGAACGATTTTGAGCCAGCCATATCACCAATTGTCTCCAGTCACTGGTTTTTACCGTCGCAGCGACCCCAACCAGGAAGTCTACACCTTCCTACTTGGCTTAAACTAACTGGTATAGATTTCATGGACTGAGGAAGTCATGTTTTGGTTTGACCACCACCACTAGCCTTCTCTCTCCCAACCTGATCCATCTTATGTCAGCTAACATTGCCTTGCCCATCGAGGAAGGCGATGACTAGGCTAGACGAGACATGCGTAACATATGTCCTAACCATCCCTCTCAATCGATGTAAATTCACAACCTCGTCGATTGATTTCCCCTCATTACCTAGCAGCCGACCGATACATAACCTCAATATTGCTCACCTTATTAAACCAGTAACACGGGAGATAAACGGAACGCAGACACCTATGATCAAAGACAGCTAGCTGGCCTTTTCATATCTTCCACTTTCAATGACCATGTCTCACAACCAGTCATAAAGGAGGACAGAACGAACTGCTGAGCAGTACACATGTTCTTTGCTCGACAACCAGCTAGCCGGATATCACGTCTACACCAGAGATGGCGTAAGTGGGCAGGCGAATACCAAACGAGCTTTCTGTATCCGTGCTGAGATTTCTTCAGCGATCAACCCCTTGGGGCTGATGCAACTTCCCAAATAAGTGAAGTAGGCGGTAGGCAGTAAGACCATAAAAGGAAGCTTCGATTTGAGGCTGACTAGCAACCACCAACCCGTAAAAGCAACACAAGTTCTAGTGAAACTTTACACTTGAAGTTTGGCACCCTACATTCCAATCAAAACAAAAACGAATGAAAACATAATAATAATAATAACAGTAATAATTATAGCATAATCGTAACCAACCTTTCAATTAGTAATGATTTTTCTTTAGAAATATTATGTAATTGAATAAGTAGATGAGATTGTCGTTTGCTTAATAATTCGATTAAATTTTTAAAATTTGCTCTTATTTCAAATTCAGCATTAAGAACATTTTGTTCAAGTAATGGTTTATAATCATCTAGCCTTTGATCAAGTTGATCTAATCGTTTCACTGCATTTTTTATTCTTTGCTCCATTTATGTCAGGCGCGCGAGAGAGAGACAGAGCGAGACGAGGGGAAGTTTATCTGAAGTTTAGAAGAAATAAAACATTATGACTGATAAAAACAAAATTGGTACACAATAGTTACCAAAGAGACATGCCACACAAAAACATATTATTTGTGGAAAGGGTGAGATACTGTGAGGATGGCCAAGGAGGAGCAGGTGGGTGTTTGAAGGAGCTTCCTCACCCTCCAAGCCTTTGACATGAAGTCTGATTTACAAGACGATGCTGCTGCTGCTGGATTCAACATAGAACTTGGCACCGAAGTGCAGCAGTTCGAGTTGCCACCTTCCAAATAGCACACAAAGATAGACAAGAAAATGAGAAGAGAATCAATAGAATTTAGATAAGTATAAGAGTGAAACAGAATGAGTAATGGTAGAAAGGAGTATGAAAGATTACAGAGACTGAATACATCTGCGCCATTGACAACGATTTTGAGCCATGTCACCTATTGTCTCCAGCCATTGATTCTTAGAGTCCCGAGGGCCCCAACCCGGAAGTCTGCATCTCTCTACCTGACTCAGTTTAACTGTCAGGGATTTCATGGATTGATGAGGCCATGTTTTTGTTTGGCCAACACTTACTCTTTCCCAACCTGCACCTACCTATATCAGCTAGTAATGCCCGTCGGGGGAGACGATGGTTAGGCATGCGCAGCACGTGGCCTTACAAGACGATGAGGCTGAGTCAGGAACTACATCCCCATGTTTTCCATTGGTCGAAACAGGTTCATACTATATTCAACCATTTCGGATTCTGGAGACCATGTACACACTAGAGGTTTGAAATCAGGATTTCCCAGCTCCTTAGGTAGACTTGTATGTCCACTAGTTCGGTTGTAAGCGCCACATGTTCGTATTTGCCCTTTCATGTTTGTAAGGAAACACTTCAGTGTTCGTGTTTGTGTTTATTGGGCTAAACACTCGATTTTGAGTTATTAGGTCCCGGGTTTAAATCCTGCTTCATCAACTTCAACCTAAGTAACTTGATACTATCTTCAGTCTACACAGATAAGTGTGACTCATGGTCGCGTAAATGCGAAATCTGTTAAGGGGGGTTGAGCTTAGCAAACTCATCAGAGTTAATGCGAATACACAGGTGAATGACTAATGCTCTTTATTATCGGACGTCATATAAACATACACCAATTCTATAGTAACAACAGGCATTTAAATGAGCACTACAACTCAGATATTTATTGATTAACACACCACACGAACTCTGTACCGCAGTAAAACGGTTCAAGTTACCACCCTTTGGAACAGCGTGCAGAAATAAAAAGCAAAACAAAAAATGTAGAAGAAAGACGATAACTACATTGAAGACGAGTTTAAATGGCTAGGATTTTGAAAATAATATAAAACAAAAGTATCTGTGCCAACTAGGATCAACAGGACGCTGGAAACATTCTTGTAGATTTCAGGCGACTTGAATGAAAATCTTTCACAGATTTAGTGACTCTTTACCACTGAAATTCCGAACAATCGTTACTCCTTATTAGATTATTTATTCTCCAGTCGCTTTGTTTCTTTTTTCTTTGTTTCTTTTTCAAATAGTGATTTGAAATGACGGACATCAAAGCAAAGTTTAATGCTGAGTCATCAGTCATATTTCGAAAAGGAGATATTTGTCAATACACCTCTGGTATAATTAAACAACGACGCTGGATACATACCACCTTAAGAGACAGTTCGCAGCAAGCTACAACAAAACAACGGTTATCCTGGCGTAAGATTCTTAGCAACATGACTTATTAGTCAAACAAGCCATACAACCAGTGATATCTCTACAAAACCTGCTAACTTATA